TGAAGGCAGGACGATATATAAGCCTGGGAAATCTTGATTGTATTTAAATATGTTTTTCATTGTTTTATGTACGCATGGTATCACAATAGTTTGAATTTTTATGAGCCATGAATATTTACACTTCCGGATCTTCATGCCCTTGGTCTCCATCTCGTGGTGAGATTCCCTTTTGAGAAGCCTAATACACCTCAAAGAAACACGGAAAGGGAGAAGTGGACGTCATTCTAATTCAGGGTCTGCGTTGGTTCCTCCCCAAGCCCCCAAGCCCTTTCCCAGCAATCCTCTTTCTGCTTCTCATTCTTTTCAGGCTCGCACGGGATGTCCTAGCAGGATGTAAATAGGCATACAGGTATAGGAGAGACGTTCACAGATTGTATGCCAGAATATGCCCCAAGGCAGGAAGATATGTACTATAAGCCTGGGAAATCTTGATTGTATTTAAATATGTTTTTCATTGTTTTATGTACGAATGGTATCACAATAGTTTGATTGTTTATGAACCATGAATATTTACACTTCCTGATCTTCATGCCCTTGGTCTCCATCTCGTGGTGAGATTCCCTTTTGAGAAGCCTAATCCACCTCAAAGAAACACGGAAAGGGAGAAGTGGACGTCATTCTAACTCAGGGTCTGCGTTGGTTCCTCCCCAAGCCCCCAAGCCCTTTCCCAGTAATCCTCTTTCTGCTTCTCATTCTTTTCAGGCTCGCACGGGATGTCCTGGCAGGATGTAAATAGGCATACAGGTATAGGAGAGACGTTCACAGATTGTATGCCAGCTTGGCACTGCCAAAGTGGTGAGAATTCCCAAGATCCAGCCAGGGGCTAGAAACACTATGGCCCCATGAAGGCTTCCATGGTATGACGGGGCCAAGACAAAATGGACACGGGGCAAGTCTTGACATCAAAGGTTTGGGCTGCAGCATGCAACAGCAAGCATCATACTCATCGTTTTGAAGACGCATGTATATATATATATATATACACACATAAATTTCAGATTCGGGCATGCCAGTACATGTGCATGTTCCAGGACACAGATATGTGAGCACCGAGTGGCACCCCGGATGTATAGCAGCTATAATAATCAGCAGCAGGCAAGGGGCCTCATCTCTCTTCCAATAGTTTTGGTTCTCCTGTCGCGACAAGCTTGGCAAATCTTGACACATGCAATCTTTTCTTTTGAACATAAACATCCCGGCGGGTGGGATAAAATTGTGGCTGTTTCATTATTTATATAACATGTGTATATATATGTTAAAAATACATATCTGCCCACATCTCTTCAAGAAAGCGGAGAGAAGGAGGATGGAACTCTCAATTCCCAGCCCAGCCTGGGCTAACTGACCAATGTTGAAAATGATCACATTGCCCGGACTGGGAGTTGCCATTGGCGGCGTTTCCCTCTCCGGCTCGATGTCCTGGAAATGACATATGGGAATCCCCGCATCGGGCCGTAACAGTGATTAAAAAATAACATGTATACTATATAGATATGTATATATATATATATATACATATACACAAGCATGTGTATCTGCAATACAGATGATATGAAATATATCTATATATATATATATCATTCCCAAAAACTGGTTCGGGACTCATCATCTACGCTAGGGAATTGGCGCTCCACCCAAGAACCTGCGCAGAAGACTCCGTGGCTGGCTCTTCGGCACCCGCTGGAGTTGATGTAGCTGCCTCGCCGAAGCAACTCTTTTAGCGAGCTGATTTCCGTATATATCTTGAATAATTATCATAAAAGCTGTTGGCCCCCTAAAATATACCAGAGGGTGAAAAGAAATCAAAGCGGGATGTTTGTTTGCCCTCTATATATATATAGATGGCTACGGGTGGGTTCCGTGATCCCAAAATAGGATTGTAACACCATCAGAAACCAAAGGCGGAGACAAGCAGGGCCACATTCTATCTCAGCCTCTGGTTTTTCAGTTCCCCTTTCAGAACCTCCACCAAAGCAGGGGCCGCAGATGGCTTCTCGGAAACGGGCATGTCCTGGCCGGTGACATGGGAACTCGATGAAGGTGATGGAACTTAATTCAGCTTCTCGGTGTAGTGACTAGTGAGCTACTGCAATACAGATGTACTATACATGACATATATATATATATATACATATACATATATACATATATAGTGACTCAAATAGATATGTTTACGCCTGAGAAGTGCAATCCCCACAAAAAGAGGTCTAGTCTAGCAGTGCCACGTTCTATCTCATCCCATGGAAGTCCAGCCCTGCCTGAAGAACTTCCGTCGTAGCATGGGTCTCAGGCTCGCTCTTTTCCGAGAGTTTGACTTCCGCCTGCCCGTGGCACCTCCAACCTTAATGTATGTTTAAACTCCCAGGGTTGTGTGGAATTCCAAAATTAGTTTGGAAATCATCATCTATGCTAGGGAACCTTGCGTTCCACCCAAGAACCTGCGCAGCAGACTCCGTGGCTGGCTCTTCGGCACCCGCTGGAGTTGATGTAACTGCCTCGCCGAAGCAACTCTTTTAGCGAGCTGATTTCCGTATATGTCTTGAATAATTATCATTATAGCTGTTGGCCCCCTAAAATATACCACAGGGTGAAAAGAAATCAAAGCGGGATGTTTGTTTGCCCTCTATATATATATATATATATAGATGGCTACGGGTGGGTTCCGTGATCCCAAAATAGGATTGCAACTAATTGTAACACCATCAGAAACCAAAGGCGGAGACAAGCAGGGCCACATTCTATCTCAGCCTCTGGTTTTTCAGTTCCCCCTTCCAGAACCTCCACCACAGCAGGGGCTGCAGATGGCTTCTCGGAAACGGGCATGTCCTTGCCGGTGACATGGGGGCTCGACGAGGGTGATGGAACTTAATTCACCTTCTCGGCGTAGTGACTAGTGAGCTACTGCAATACAGACGTACTATACATGACATATATATATATACATATACATATATAATGACTCAAATAGATATGTTTACGCCTGAGAAGTACAATCTCATCCCATGGAAGTCCAGCCCTGCCTGCAGAACTTCCGTCGTAGCATGGGTCTCAGGCTCGCTCTTTTGCGAGAGTTTGACTTCCGCCTGCCCGTGGCACCTCCAACCTTAATGTATGTTTAAACTCCCAGGGTTGTGTGGAATTCCAAAATTAGTTTGGAAATCATCATCTATGCTAGGGAACCTTGCGTTCCACCCAAGAACCTGCGCAGCAGACTCCGTGGCTGGCTCTTCGGCACCCGCTGGAGTTGATGTAACTGCCTCGCCGAAGCAGCTCTTTTGGCGAGCTGATTTCCGTATATGTCTTGAATAATTATCATAATAGCTGTTGGCCCTGAAACCAGGAAGACATGTAATATACCACAGGGTGACGAGAAACCAAAGCGGGATGCTTGTTTGCCCTATATATATAGATATATATAGATGGCTACGGGTGGGTTCCGTGATCCCAAAATAGGATTGTAACACCATCAGAAACCAAAGGCGGAGACAAGCAGGGCCACATTCTATCTCAGCCTCTGGTTTGTCAGTTCCCCCTTCCAGAACCTCCACCAAAGCAGGGGCTGCAGATGGCTTCTCGGAAACGGGCATGTCCTGGCCGGTGACATGGGAACTCGATGAAGGTGATGGAACTTAATTCAGCTTCTCGGTGTAGTGACTAGTGAGCTACTGCAATACAGACGTACTATACATGACATATATATATATATATATACATATACATATATACATATATAGTGACTCAAATAGATATGTTTACGCCTGAGAAGTGCAATCCCCACAAAAAGAGGTCTAGTCTAGCAGTGCCACGTTCTATCTCATCCCATGGAAGTCCAGCCCTGCCTGAAGAACTTCCGTCGTAGCATGTGTCTCAGGATCTCTCTTTTCCAGGAGTTTGACTTCTGCCTGCCCGTGGCACCCCCAACCTTAATGTATGTTTAAATTCCCAAGGTTGTGTGAAATCCACAATTCGTTGGGAAATCATCATCTACGCTAGGGAACTTAATTTGCGTTCCACCCAAGAACCTGCGCAGAAGACTCCGTGGCTGGCTCTTCGGCACCCGCTGGAGTTGATGTAGCTGCCTCGCCGAAGCAACTCTTTTAGCGAGCTGATTTCCGTATATGTCTTGAATAATTATCATTATAGCTGTTGGCCCCCTAAAATATACCACAGGGTGAAAAGAAATCAAAGCGGGATGTTTGTTTGCCCTATATAGATGGCTACGAGTGGGTTCCGTGATCCCAAAATAGGATTGCAACTAATTGTAACACCATCAGAAACCAAAGGCGGAGACAAGCAGGGCCACATTCTATCTCAGCCTCTGGTTTTTCAGTCCCCCTTCCAGAACCTCCACCACAGCAGGGGCTGCAGATGGCTTCTCGGAAACGGGCATGTCCTTGCCGGTGACACGGGGGCTCGACGAGGGTGATGGAACTTAATTCACCTTCTCGGCGTAGTGACTAGTGAGCTACTGCAATACAGACGTACTATACATGACATATATATATATATATACATATACATATATACATATATAATGACTCAAATAGATATGTTTACGCCTGAGAAGTACAATCTCATCCCATGGAAGTCCAGCCCTGCCTGCAGAACTTCCGTCGTAGCATGGGTCTCAGGCTCGCTCTTTTCCGAGAGTTTGACTTCCGCCTGCCCGTGGCACCTCCAACCTTAATGTATGTTTAAACTCCCAGGGTTGTGTGGAATTCCAAAATTAGTTTGGAAATCATCATCTATGCTAGGGAACCTTGCGTTCCACCCAAGAACCTGCGCAGCAGACTCCGTGGCTGGCTCTTCGGCACCCGCTGGAGTTGATGTAACTGCCTCGCCGAAGCAGCTCTTTTGGCGAGCTGATTTCCGTATATGTCTTGAATAATTATCATAATAGCTGTTGGCCCTGAAACCAGGAAGACATGTAATATACCACAGGGTGACGAGAAACCAAAGCGGGATGTTTGTTTGCCCTATATATATATATATATAGATGGCTACGGGTGGGTTCCGTGATCCCAAAATAGGATTGCAACTAATTGTAACACCATCAGAAACCAAAGGCGGAGACAAGCAGGGCCACATTCTATCTCAGCCTCTGGTTTGTCAGTTCCCCCTTCCAGAACCTCCACCAAAGCAGGGGCCGCAGATGGCTTCTCGGAAACGGGCATGTCCTGGCCGGTGACCATGGGAGTTCATGAGGGACATGGAAATAGAAGGCCCCATTCAACAGGGCAAGAATACCCAAAAACGTGTTGAAACATGTTGAAACAACATTATATAGTGCTAGGAAAACCCCGAATGGAGGAGATGGGGGCAAAATGAATTGAAGGTTGATCTGGTTTGCAACATAGGCACATGATTTTTCCTTGATGGATATATTTAAGGAAAACATTTATATACGTACTAAATACCTATGTATATATATATATGTATATGCATGTATGTATGTGTATATATATATAATCAACATCTGTAAATAAACAGTTTTGTATATGTATACATATGTATATATATGCTGCGGATGGCATGGATGCGGTAAGAAATTCCTACCAATGCCACATTCTATCTCTGTGATTGAATTTCCCGTTCCCCCCTTGTAGGACCTCCGCTGGAGCAGGGGCCACAGTGGCCGCAGGCATTAGCGTGGAGCCAACCTGGCCCGTGATAGTGGGAGCTGAATCCCCATGAAGCAAACATCGTAGCGTATACATAGGTATTTTATAGGTATATATAGGTATTTATGGGTGTATATATATATAGGTATCCATAGGTATATAAAGGTAATTTTAGGTATCGGTGTATATATATATAAGGAAAATCAAAGCGGGATGTTTGTTTGCCCTATATATGTAGATGGCTACGTGTGGGTTCCGTGATCACAAAATAGGATTCGAAAATCAACAGAAACCAAAGGCGGAGACAGAGCAGGGCCACATTCTGTCTCAGCCCCTGGTTTTTCAGTTCCCCCTTCCAGAACCTCCACCAAAGCAGGGGCCGCAGATGGCTTCTCGGAAACGGGCATGTCCTGGCCGGTGACCATGGGAGTTCATAAGGGACATGGAAATAGAAGGCCCCATTCAACAGGGCAAGAATACCCAAAAATGTGTTGAAACATGTTGAAACAACATTACATAGTGCTTGGAAACCCCGAATTGGAGTTTGATCTGGTTTGCAACCTAGGCACATTATTTTTCCCAGATGGATATATATATATGTATGAATATTTTGTAAGGAAAACACTTTCGTAATATATCCGTATATATATATGTACAAATATTTATTTATCAAATCAACACCTGTAAATAAAGAGTATATATGTATATATACCCATGCTGCGGATGGCATGGATGCGGTAAGAAATTCCTAATAATGCCACATTCTATCTCTGTGATTGAATTTCCTGTTCCCCCTTGTAGGACCTCCACGGGAGCAGGGGCCACAGTGGCCGCAGGCATTAGCGTGGAGCCAACCTGGCCCGTGATAGTGGGAGCTGATGGGAATGTAGGAAACTTCAATCCCCATGAAGCAAACATCGTAGTGTATACATAGGTATTTAAAGGTATATATAAGTATTTATAGGATTTTATAGGCATATATAGGCATATTTAGGTATCGGTGTATATATATATATATTTATATTTATTTAAGGAAAATCAAAGCGGGATGTTTGTTTGCCCTATATATATAGATGGCTACGTGTGGGTTCCGTGATCACAAAATAGGATTCGAAAATCAACAGAAACCAAAGGCGGAGACAGAGCAGGGCCACATTCTGTCTCAGCCCCTGGTTTTTCAGTTCCCCCTTCCAGAACCTCCACGGAAGCAGAGGCCGCAGATGGCTTCTCGGAAACGGTCATGTCCTGGCCGGTGACCATGGGAGTTCATGAGGGACATGGAAATAGAAGGCCCCATCAAACAGGGCAAGAATACCCAAAAACGTGTTGAAACATGTTGAAACAACATGATATAGTCCTAGGAAACCCCCGAATGGAGGAGATGATGGCAAAATGAATGGAAGGTGGATCTGGTTTGCAACATAGGCACATGTTTTTTTCTTGATGGATATATTTAAGGAAAACATTTATATACGTACTAAATACCTATGTATATATATATATATGTATATGCATGTATGTATGTGTATATATATAATCAACATCTGTAAATAAACAGTTTTGTATATGTATACATATGTATATATACACATGCTGCGGATGGCATGGATGCGGTAAGAAATTCCTACCAATGCCACATTCTATCTCTGTGATTGAATTTCCCGTTCCCCCCTTGTAGGACCTCGGCTGGAGCAGGGGCCACAGTGGCCACAGGCATTAGCGTGGAGCCAACCTGGCCCGTGATAGTGGGAGCTGATGGGAATGTAGGAAACTTCAATCCCCATGAAGCAAACATCGCAGTGTATATATACATAGGTATTAATAGGTATATATAATCAATGCGGGATGTTTGTTTGCCCTATATAAATGGCTATGGGTGGGTTCCGAGATCCCGAAATAGGATTCCAAAATCAACAGAAACCAAAGGCGGAGACAGAGCAGGGCCACATTCTATCTCAGCCCCTGGTTTTTCAGTTCCCCCTTCCAGAACCTCCACGGAAGCAGAGGCCGCAGATGGCTTCTCGGAAACGGTCATGTCCTGGCCGATGACCATGGGAGTTCATGAGGGACATGGAAAGGAAACAATACTGATATGTTTTTAAACGAGTTGTTTTAGTCTACGTTATTGCACTCAAATTTCAACTGACGTTCAACCAATCTGCAAATAAATTTATATACTGTATAAATTACTGTTGCTCTATATACTCTTGGGCTCCCTCTTCCCCCCAGAGAACCTGCCCCACAGTAGCGGCAGCAGCTTCCTCGGATTGTGGTTCAGCAGGCTTTTCCTAGCCAGGGTCAATGGGTGACTTTCCAGTAGGAACTCATTCTATCTCTGATGCTAGATTTCTTCGCCCCCCCACCCAGAACAAGCACCACAAGCACTTGAACCCTCAAGTTTTTCCCTCTCCTCTCCGGGCGGCACGACCGATGGAAGTCGCATCTCCAGCGGTGGCTTGCTTGCCCTTGCCTTACAAGTTACAAGGGTTGCGTAAATATGCAGACGGGGCCCAGAGAATAACAAAAGACTGCGACATTGTTTTACTGCGGGTGCTTTAGATACTTCTGAGTGTACCCATCCATGCACAAACGGGGGCCCTTCCCTTGAACCCAGTAGCATCCATGACCAAAACTTTGGTGAAAACCCCTTGTGTAGCGGGGATGAGCAAGTCATAGTGTCCGAAGCAATGCTTGTCGTCCGCAACAGATTGGCACCAACTGAACAGGAGGTGTGCGCACAGAGGCCTCTGACCGAAAACAGTGTCACCCTTCAGCCAGGGCAAATGCGCCATGCCACTAAGAACATCAGCGTGGATAGTAAGACGAATGGCACAGCTCATAGCAGCCGATATCCAAATCAAATCTTGGACCTCAAAGGATTGCTCCGCTCGCACACGGGCAATGTCCGCAGCCAGGTGTGGAAAATGGTCCTCCGCAATTTGACCTTAGTTTATATCTTAGTATGTTGCAACATGTTGTAACAAGCCATACACAAGTGAAAAGGTGTATTTATATATAGTGTGTGTGTGTGTCCCAGTTGGAGGGAATGTAGTTATATAGTAGAATCAACAAGGTCCCAGGGACATACCTCTTGGCAAAGAAGCGATGCTTCAGTCTCCTCAGCTTTGTTCTGGCGGTAGTTGAGCGGGTAGCGGGCTTCATTCCTGCCAGGGCCCGCAATCAGTGTCTGCCATGCGCCCCGCAAAACAAAACCAGGGTTAGGCGTAGTTGGAACCCCAGTCCTGGGAACACGTTCAAAGCTTTCATGATCAAATGCAGCCGGTATACTTCTCCATCCACATTTCCCATCCGCAGGGGTCTTGACAACGCGAAAAGATATTTTCGGAAGAGGGGCCCCATACTCTTTGGAGATGCTCTGGGTAGAATTCATCACCGCTTCAACGATCTGTTTGTAGAGCCGCTCCCGATTGGTGGTCAGAAGGTGTTGGAGCCAGCATACACTCCCAAGACCTCGCCCCCTCGCATGCGTCCAAGAAGGTTGCACACTAATGGGGCTCTTGCATTTCCCCCACTCCAACACAGCTACTGATCCAGGATCGCTGGGGTGAACCTAGGCCAGGGGCACATATTCATTTTTGCACACCACACTTAGAATGACCCCCCAGGGTCCCAACTTGTCCCAACCCCGAATCCCAACTTCCCCCATTATATAGCAGTTGAGGCACCAAGACCATCGCAGAAGCACCAGGGACCTTCTCCTGCAATCTCTCCATGTTTTGTTGGGCTTCCTTCATGATCGCATCCTCTCCAACACAACCTGCTTGAATTAACCCCAGTATGTCCAATTGCTCCTGTTTGCATACAAAGTCAATTCTCGGGTCCGAAAGAAGCGTAGCCAACGACCGGTCCACTACAACACTGTGGCACGCTTCTCTCTTGTTCTTCAGGCTACACCCGAGAAGAAGGCCTACAATTCCGGGCGCCCGGATGGACCACGTTTGAAACGTGACCAGGCATGCTCTTTGGAATCCAATCTCGGAAGATGGCAAGGACGGACCTTGTGATTTGGGAGGACAAAGAATTTGCTGGGTGATTTCCTCTCCCTCCGCTAGGCCCTCTTTTTTGCCACCTTCAGTGGAGGCCACCAAACAGTCCGCAGCAGGGGCAAAGTGGTAGGCTTTCCCGGTAGCCTGACACCGTGTTTTGGTTTAAAGAAAACATTGTGTAGATGGATGTGAATGGCACCAAAAAACAACAAATTGGACATGCCACTGTCTCACCTACATGTATGCATATATAAGGTATATAATAAACCTCTCTCGGTCCCCATCTTCAAGTTATAAGATATAGGGTATAACCGATCGATGGCATATGCAAAATATATGCGATATGCCATGATAGTGGCAGAAAAAATACAATGTATAAATTTCAGGGTGCACCAATTTGACCCACATAATGATGACACAGAATATGGTGGAATATGGTGGATAATGGTGGAATATGGGTGGAATATGGTGGATAATGGTGGATAATGGTGGAATATGGTGGGATATGGTGGAATATGGTGGTGGAATATGGTGGATAATGGTGGAATATGGTGGAATATGGTGGAATATAGTGGAATATGGTGGATAATGGTGGAATATAATGGAATATGATGGAATATGGTGGAATATGGGTGGAATATGGTGGAGTATGGTGGAATATGATGGAATATGGTGGAATATGGTGGCATATGGTGGAATATGGTGGATAATGGTGGAATATGGTTGAATGGTGGAATATGGTGGTGGAATATGGTGGAATATGGTGGATAATGGTGGAATATGGTGGAATATGGTGGACTATAGTGAATAATGAAGGATAATGGTGGAATATGGTTGATAATGGTGGACTATGATGGAATATGGTGGAATATGGTGGATAATGGTGGATAATGGTCGAATATGGTCGAATATGGTGGAATATGGTGGATAATGGTGGAATGTAATGGAATATGGTGGAATATGGTGGAATATGGGTGGAATACCGATGGAATATGGTGGATTATGGTGGATAATGGGTGGAATATGGTGGAATATATGATGGAATATGGTAGATAATGGGTGGAATATGGTGGAATATGGTGGAATATGGGTGGAATATGGGTGGAATATGGATGGAATATGGTGGAATATGGTAAACTATGGTGGAATATGGGTGGAATATCGATGGAATATGGTGGAATATGGTGGATAATGGTGGAATATGATGGAATATGGTGGAATATGGTGGAATATGGTGGAATATGGTGGGATATGGTGGAACATGGTGGAACATGGTGGAATATGGTGGACTATGGAGGAATATGGTGGAATATGGGTGGAATATGGTGGAATATGATGGAATATGGTGGAATATGGGTGGAATATGGTGGAGTATGGTGGAATATGATGGAATATGGTGGAATATGGTGGCATATGGTGGAATATGGTGGATAATGGTGGAATATGGTTGAATGGTGGAATATGGTGGTGGAATATGGTGGAATATGGGTGGAATATGGGTGGAATATGGTGGAATATGGTGGATAGTGGTGGAATATGGTGGAATATGGGTGGAATATGGTGGAATATGGTGGATAATGGTTGATAATGGTAGAATATGGTGGGTAATGGTTGAATATGGTGGAATATGGTGGAATATGATGGGATATGCTGGAATTTGGTGGAATATGGGTGGAATATGGTGGACTATGGTGGAATATGGTGGAATATGGTGGATAATGGTGGATAATGAAGGATAATGGTGGAATATGGTTGATAATGGTGGGCTATGGTGGATAATGTGTGGAATATGGTGGAATATATGATGGAATATGGTAGATAATGGTGGAATATAATGGAATATGGTGGAATATGGGTGGAATATGGATGGAATATGGTGGATAATCGTGGAATATGGTGGATACTGGTGGACTATGGTGGAATATGATGGAATATGGTGGAATATGGTGGAATATGGGTGGAATATGGGTGGAATATGGTGGAATATGCTGGAATATGGTGGAATATGGTGGAATATGGTGGAATATGGTGGATAATGGTGGATAATGGTAGAATATGGTGGGTAATGGCGGAATATGGTGGAATATGGTGGAATATGGTATAGGTGGACTATGGTGGACTATGGTGGATAATGGTGGATAATGGTAGAATATGGTGGTTAATGGTGGAATATGGTGGAATATGGTGGAATATGGTGGTAGAATATGGTGGTAGAATATGGCGGTAGAATATGGT